CATCAAGACTAAACGGCTGGAGCGCGGCATCGGAATGTGTAGCCCACTATAATACCGGATTGAATATCGCTTCCTATAACTATTTCTATCCTTGTACCCTACAGTTTGCCTCAATTTGTGAGAGAAACGCTACCATGATGAGCTCTACAGTATCTCCAGTAAAGCACTGAGTTTTAGAGGAATTTTGATAATTTAGCTCCAAAATTCTGTGTATGTTAATATATTAAATAGATGAGTTGTTGATAAAGTCGTAGATGTTGTGCAATAGATGTAATAAATTTATTAAAACAATTCTAACTACAAAATAAATAACCAATGAATCAAATTCACAAATGCAATGATAAATTACCCATTTCAGACAGATAAAGATCGTAAGAACATTCGTAATTGTTGATCAATCACCACTGTAATTATGAAAAAGATAGAATAATAAGTTACTCAGACTTAATGTTTTATTAATTAGGGACTTTCACACAGGAATGAATCAATAAAATGCGAACGATAAAAAGCGTAAATCGGCAAGAGATTAGCCTTCAATGACTACCCATTCAGTGCCATCAACCCTTGCTATTTCAGTCATAGCAGTAGAGGTGAGGATCTGAAATTGTGCTATAAAGCGGACGGAATTATTAAACATCGAAGAACTCTTTTTTCCATTATCTTGATATCTCTTAAATATGTAGCCTCATAGATTTTACTTAATACAAAACTACAACGTTTTCTGGGTTCCATAGGGACCCCATCATTTATTACTTTTTAATAAGATATTAACATTCTAGAATAAATTTTATTTGGATCTTAAATTTGGCTATGAAAGTTAGAAATGTCCAATGTCTTTGTTTCATAATCAATTCCCTCTAACAGCTTACCTCTCCTGCTGGAATTGCTCCCGCTGAGCAACACAGGTGAACACCGTCAACGTTAGATGGCTTACATACATTGCCCGGACTGCATTCCAGGGAGTTCGTACATCTAAATAGTATAAACAAATTTCATACTGTAATTGTATATGTATATGTAGTTATAGGATAATCTTTAAAAAATGTAAACTTGATTATCCGACCTAAGTCCTTCTCTATCAAACCCATGCATAGAATTAATTGAAAGTTAGCAAAATTATGTCTGTCACAGCACGATACAAAAACGAAAGATTAATTAAATATTGTTCGGCCAAGAAAAATCCGCAAAGGAAACCTTCACGGTAACGTTATATAATACAAATTCCAGAACCATTGTTCCTCGATGATTAAAAGAAAAGGGATGCTGTAGTACAGGTTTGAGGACTAGCTACTTTAAACTAAAGCTCTTCAAAAAAGAGTGCCGTTTAGAGGGTAAAATGATTGCAGCGCACATATCTGAGTAACCTATCACATAGTTTTCAAAGGCTCTTAACAACACTTTTAATCTTCACCATTTTCAGATTGTAGAGCTCATTTTCATAACGTAATTCTTCAGTATTTAAAAGAACTGAACTATACAAACTAAACATTTGATTTCAGTTCTGAGGACTTATCACGTAGAAAAACTCCCAGATTGAAGTGCTTACTTCCACATAAAATGTGTACGTGCATTGAGACCCTTATCGGAACACAAATATAGTATCTGGTGTGCAAAGAGAGAATTTTGATTTTTTGTACAAATTTTGTGCTGAGATTTTTTGTTAAGCCTTGAATTCGGAAGCCAATAAACGGTATGTAACCAAATTTAGGATATTGAACTGAAGATCCTCAAAAAAATTGGGATATGCAGCCCCTACGTCGCACATCATCTAAATATCTCGCGTTCTTCGGATATCACCTCACTCTCCCATACATACTTCTCTTTCCCCTTCACCCTCTCCCTCTCTTCACTCCTCCATTCCTTACGATTATAACAACTGCGATACTACCTATTTTTACAGTTTTAGGTGTTGATATAAAGATGATACAGGAACAAAGACGTTTTTCTGAAGGTTTTTTAAATTGGATGCTTGATAACTGCAATAGAATTAATATAGACATATGGGTAAGAAAATACAAACGTGGAAATTTTTTAAAAATCGGAGAAAACATGATCAAATGCTTACTTTCTTAACACTTCTCCAAATCCAACTTCCGCATTTCCTTCAGGACATTTAGGAATATCTGAGCAGCACACATAACGATCGCTTTTGATTTTTGGCAGGCAAGCCTAAAAAGAAGGTCTTGGGTCGTGACGCTTGACTATATGAAAGCATCGCACTTTTTCATCAGCACAGATGTAAGCGGTCTGATCGCAATAGACGAGTTCGTTTGTACCGGGAGTTAGCACTGGTTGTCTAAATTTTGTTTTGCTATTGAATTTGGAAATAGTTCTATAGTATCCAATAGAATGCAAGCTGACCTGTTTTCCGGACAAATATCTGAATTAGCAGATTTTATTTCACTTCTGGAGTAGGAGCTAAAAAATTTCATTTGATACGGTGAAGAAGAATGAAAATTGAAAAAAATGTATATGTGAAATAGTTGTGCGAAATATGAACCGTGACATTTT